GGCCGGGCTCGGGCCGGGTCGTCGGGCCGGGCTGCCCATGTCCGGGTTTACGCCAAATAGACCATGCCGTGAGCACCGCCAGCGTGGCTAGGCCCTTGCGGTGGCCGGTAGGGGATCTCCTGATTGTGGCCGAGCACCATGGAAGAAAGGCTTCATTGCCAGAAGGGGGGGGGGGCAAGCAAGAACGTCGTGCCAAATTTGTCGGGAGAAGGGGCAGCCAATGTTCAGAATGTGTACTTTTATCCAAGAGGTGATACACCTTAGTAGTCCAAATGAAACAGCAAGCACGATCAGTTGCGGTGGTTAGGCCACTAGCGCCATTACAACAGTTTGATTTTTCAATCCGTCCAATTTTTCCCAGCCCAATATATTTACAGCAAATACTGACAGGTGGGGCCCAGTGGGCAACTATTGTCGGACTGCTTTTGTACAAAGTAAAAAACATCACGTGTACTAGCCACTGACAATGGGCCCTGGCCACATTGGCATGCCACGTAGGCAGCAAATACATCCACGTACGGGAATGTGACCATATTTGCACGCCCGCACAAGTTTGATGACCAGAAACACGCATTTTGCAAGTTTGTGCATCAAACTGACCGTCTTGCGCAAGTTGTAGGACTTCTAATGTATTTACCTCAAAGGGGTATCATCTTCGAAACCAGGGTTTTTCCGGGGTTTTTTTAGGTGCTACAAAATGCCCCGCTCTCTCTTTTTTTCTCTTTTTAGGAGAAATGCCCTGCTTTGTCTTTACCACCAGAGCTGCTCATTCGGTTAAGTCGATAAATAAGATCTTATTTTTTTTAAAGGCGAAGGTCATGTCGAAATTTAAAATTGCACAGGTCACCCACCAAAACACCATCAGAGTCGGGGAAACATTGTTGACGCGGCGGTCAGAAGTCGTCGATCAAAGCTAGAAGACTCTGGCGACCATGATCTGAAACACATCGTCGTCCCAGAGAAAAGAAGACGGCCACCCAAAATCCAAGGGACATAACCTCTGAAACTCACCGATGGCGTCAAAGCGGCCGAGCATTCTTGTTGGAGGAGTTAGGGACCAAAACACGAAGTTATGACTCCGGTTCGGTCTCGGTAAACAACAAACTTCGATACGGTTTCAATAAATATCTAGTCCTTCTGACTTCAAAAGGAAGGACTATAAATATTATATCAAATCAAATGGTGCAATATTTAACCAACGTTGTAAGGAAAATTGTCCACCTACAATATTAGATATGAAAATATATTCAATTGTGTATGTAACGATATCAATTTGGTATCGTAGTTTTTTATATTTTTCCTAAAAATGTAGTCAAACTTTGCACCATTTGATTTCAAAGAAAATTTATAAGCGTTCTTTTCAGAGCCGGAGGGAGTACTAACCAAATTTGACGCAATTTTGTGGTCATAGGGTTTTGTAAACGCATGGAAAACCTCTTTAGTATTGTTGCATGCATAGCAATGTGACAATTTCTATATACAAAACATGCAAAACTTTAAATTTCTTACCAGACCGCTATTGCTACCTACACACAGTGAGAACTATACCATTGACATATCCAACAAAGTGAAAAATCAAGATGTGTCAATTTTTAATCCAGTTTATTAATTAGCATGCAAAGGTAAGAACAAGCAACAGCTAATTACCGGGCACTCTCTCATATCTTAAAAACAAGGCCCTAAACTTTGTCCCTCTTTTCTCACAAAGCAAGCTTCATGGTCAATTGGACCAATCACAAGCCAAGCTGAGTGGCTGAACATCTATATGATTGGTAGGTTTGGAAATGCGTGAAGCAACATGCAAGCCCTTTTTTGAGAGGTGAAGGGAGTACAAAAGGAACAAACACAAAGAAAGAAGCAACTAGAAAGTAAATAGCAAGTGTTTGAAGGCACAATGATTTATTTCGCAAAGTTCTAGTTGTTAGCGGGCTTTACGTCTTCATAGGAGAGGGTGAGCACTCAGCGCCGCGTTGAGCTAAGTTCACTACTCACCCAATTAATAATAGTGGATTTTGAGGTGATCCCGGACCTACACAAACTTAGCGTATCCACAAGATGGAAGCTCTCAGATGACGACTAATTGTTTAGAAGATGTCGATTCTCCAAGAGTATGAGTAGCATCTGTAGGCTCAAAGATGCTCTTGCTTGATGCTCAACC